CTGGGACCACAGGCACCCGCCACAACGCCCGGCCATTTTTTGGTTGCAGCCGTCATTGTTGTTTGGCGGGTCCAGGCTGGGGATTCGAACCGTCAGCTTAGGTGTACGTGGCTGGCGCCTTAGCCAGTTGAGCTATAGGCGCTGAGCCCAGCCTGTTTCATAGACAAGAAAATCGTGGCTTGGAGAGTGGAAGGCCTGGCCACATAATCATGGCCTGGTGGTTGTCAGCAGTGAGGACTCTGGCTCCTAACCCTGATAAGTCCACTCCGCGGGGACAAGCTCCTTAGAGATCTAGATGCTTTTCCTCCTATCCCAGTTTTCCAGAGCTGCTCCTACTGCCTCTCTAGGAAGGCAGGGGCTCCTGGCCAGGCCCAGGACAAAGGCCCACTTTCTCCATGGCCTTGGGCCTTTCTGGGCGGGATCTCAGACATGCAGGCTGTTCCTGCTGTGGCTTAGGGACAGGGTGGGGCCTCAGGAGTGGGTTGGGTGGCCACAGGGTGTCTGTGGTCCTGGGGACTCTTCCCCATGGCCCCCAAGCTCCTTGGGTCCCCCCACCTGGTATCAGAGTGAGGGGCTCTAAGGCTGCAGCTGGGCCAGGCTAGTCCCTCCCTTCCTAATCACTGTCATGTCACCTGGCATCAGGCTCAGCTCATTATCTTTGCCACAGACAGGGAAGTTGGTTTCAGAGACTGGGGTTTAGAGCCAGGCTACACAGCTGACAACTAGGAATGTCTGCCCTTGAGCCATAGTTAGCCTGATCCTACATGACAGTGGGGTATCTGTCCTCCACTGTCTCAAGCTGGTTTAGCCAGACCACTGCTGGGGAGAGAGCCTGGGGGGCTGGGTGGGCCTGTGTGTCTTGCCCAGCACTGGGGAACCAAGGTGAGTTGCACGTGATGCTGCCCTCAGATCCACAGGGAGCACAGGGCCACCCAGGCAGTGTGATGACAGAGGACACAGGCATGGCCCCCTCACCTGGAGCCTACAGCTCTGGCCAGCATAGCCTCAGGCTGGCTCATAGCCCAGCCCCTGCTGCCTCATCTGGCCATCTGGTCAGGCCACTGCTCTTCTCAGACCGGTGGGACATATCAGTTTGTGAATGCCATCACCCACTCATCCACACGCCATAATCCCATCCTCCCTACTTCCACCCCTCTGTCCTCACACTGACCCTCCACACCCTCCCATCCATCTTCTCTTCCCTCCATCCAGAAATCCTTCTAGCTGGTCAACTGTCCAGCCACTTTCCCCCTCTGTCCCTTCACCCCACACTTGGACATCCCATAGGTGACATTCGAACCACAGAGCTGCTGGCAGGGAACAGACACCCACTGACAGAGTGCCACAAAGGCATGCACCTGTGACAACTGGGGGGTGTAAGCCAGCAAGGATGTCACTGTGTTAGCTGACAACACAGTGCGCCCAGTGCCAGGCCTGTGACCCACTCAGATGGGCAGAGCCACAGCTGTCCTCACTGGTTTCATGGTCTGCTCACTCCTCTGAAGATACCACACACCTCCCTCTGCCTGATCCCCTGTGGCCAACAGGTCCCTGCTGTGCCCCCACCACCTGTCACCTTAGGGGGTTATTTTGTTCATTTTGCAGGTAGATCATGGTTAAATCTTCCAGGCCTTCACAGCGGTCCTGGTTCCCACCCCCACCCCCATCCTGTCCCAGTCACACTGGCCCTTTATGTTCCCTCAAAATATCAGCAAGCCCATTTCCACTGCAGGGCCTCTACACTGGCCCTTCTCCCTGCCAGGAATGCGCTCACCCACGTCTCCACATGGCCGGGTCCTTCTTGAATTTCACATTCAGCTTAAATGTCACTTCCCCAAGACTCGGCTGCTCCTATGAGCTGGCATAATATATAGTACTTGGGGTTCTCTCCTTTCTATTTCTTTATTCTTTTCTTTTAAGACAGAGTCTCACCCAGGCTAGAGTACAGTGGCACCATCATAGCTCACAGCAACCCCAAACTCCTAGGTCCAATGCATCCTCTTGCCTCAGGCTCCCAAATAGCTGGGACTACAGGTGTGCAGCAGCACACCCAGCTAATTTTTTAATTTTCTGTATGGACGGGGTCTCTCTATGTTGCCCAGGCTGGTCCTATACTCCCAGCCTTAAGTGATCCTCCTGCGCTAGCCTCCAAAGTGCTAGGATTTTATAACAGGTGTGAGCCGCCACGCCCCACCTGTATTTCTTTATTCTTTTTTTTTTTTTTTTTGAGACAGAACCTCAAGCTGTCCCCCTGGGTAGAGTGCCATGGCATTACAGCTCACAGCAACCTCCAACTCCTGGGCTCAAGCGAGTCTCCTGCCTCCGCCTCCCAAGTAGCTGGGACCACAGGCGCCCGCCACAACGCCCGCCTATTCTTTGGTGGCAGCTGTCATTGTTGTTTGGCAGGTCCGGGCTGGGGATTCAAACCCGCCACCTTAGGTGTACGTGGCTGGCGCCTTAGCCGGTTGAGCTATAGGTGCCGAGCCTATTTCTTTATTCTTCATAAACTTTCTTCCTTCTGCCAGGTGCAAGCTGCAGGGGAGGGGGGTGGCCGAGGTCTGACTTATTCACTGCCTGGTCTCAGCATACACAGCAGAGATACAGGCTGCCTCACAGCTCCAGGGTAGAGACTTGGGGGTTGTTCCGAATCTCCAGGTCAGGGCAGATCCTCAAAGAGGTGACCAGAGCTAGTTTGGGGGCTGATTTCCACTCTCACCCTGGTGAGTTTCCCACCCCCGTGCCCTCTGCCATGCGAGGCGTCCATAAAGCATCATGTCAGGGTTGTTACGAGGAACCAGTGATGACTCCAGCTGGAATGCCCCTCTGAGGGGAGGGAGAGAGGGAAGGATGGATGGGAAGGGCAGGGGAAGAGGGGAGGATGGCAGGGAAGGAGGGAAGGAAGGTGGCTGGATGAGGAGGTGGGTCCTGCTGGCTAAGGCAGCAGCCACCTGGGGACCCTCATACTGGGCAACCCCAAAGGACTGTCTGCCAGGCCTGCAGGGAAGCCCCCTGGGGACAGAAGGACTCTCTGGGCCCTGGATTCTGCCCACCTGAGGCTGCCCGAGGCTGAGGTAGGGGTTACTCATCAGTCTTCATGACCCCAATGCCAGCAGTGCTACATCCAGTTCTGGGTCCCCCGGTGATTCAGAGCTTATCTGTACATAGCTGGTCCCTGGCCCATAGTCAGCTGAGGCTTCACCCAGCCCTGATGAGGTAAAGTCCAAGCGCAGGAGAGGGTGCTGCTGTGGCCTGGGAGGAAGGAGCCCCTGAGCACCCCACACTCAACAGGATGTCCAAGGCACAGCATGTGTGTGGACACGCCTGCACACATTGGACTGTGGTGGAGGCTTCAAGTAGTGCCAGCCTGAAAGGTCACATTTCTGCCTGGTGGGACCCAGCTCAGAGGCAGGAGTGAGGTGGTGGCTGGGGAAGGGGCAGCATTGGGGCTCACTGGATGTGTGGCCATCCTGCCATGCTCTGGCCTGGGAGGGGAAGGGCTTGCAGGGCTGGAGCTCAACAGGAGACAGAACAGGTCCTGAGCAGGCCCTGGAGCCATGGGTTCCTGCTCGGACACCCTATCCACAGGCTCCTCTCTGAGTGTAAGGCTAGAGCTCTCTTCCACCTTCCTGGAAGGCTCCAAAGGCTTTTTCTTAGCACCTGTGGGCCCTCCTGCTGATCACTACAAGCAGGACCAGGATGGCCTCCTGCTCTCCTGCCGAGCCCCATGGTTTGCTGCTGCAGCCAAGAGTTGGCCTGTCCAGAGTTGAGAGTCACGGGTACCTCCAGAAGCCAATCTCCAGGTGGTGCTATCTTGGGGAGCACCACATTTTGTCTCCCTGTTGGGTAGACTTGAGGTACTGAGCAAGGGACATCCTTCCTTGTCCAGAGTGAGCAAGGCCCAGAGTGCAGCAGGGAGGCCACCAGCCCTGTCTCCTGCTGGTCTCTGGCATGGCTGATACCATCCTGGGCCTATCCCATGGGGCC